TAATTATATATATATGGCGGAACCGATTTCTGTGCGTCGATTATTACATGTTTACATACGATTGCATTGGATGCGAATGAATAAGCTTCAGTTTACCCTAGATTGGATTTGCGTCCCCGACATTTTACTTGATGGCACCCACCGTTTTCTGTTTGGTTGGACATACTTTGAAGTTGCTAGATTTGGTAGTACCAATAAGAAACCTGAAGTTGCTAGATTTGGTAGTACCAATAACAAACGTGAGCGCAATCGATCGACAAGGTAATTCAATGGTCGCTTCGGGGGTGCTCCTCAGACCATCGTAGCCATCCACAAAAATGGTGGTGGTGGTGATTTCACAGCTAATCAATTCGGCTTGAATAGGACAGGGGGGTCAGCATCTCCGAGCCGATGAATATACCGTTTTTTCTGTCAAGGTTGAAACAATCCACCAACACAGAGAGAACTACTAAAACTTGAGCGCCCGCACGAATATGTGGTTGGCAGGTATCTGCAGAGGAGACGCCGGGGGAGAGTTATTGGAGTTACTTTATGGGTTTGGCTACGTCGTTCGAAATCAGCACGGGGTGGGATGGAACAGAATTCAACTAAGCTAACATTGAAGTGGGAACTGGGTATTTATCAGGCGAAGAATGTCTCTTGGTTTTAAATCAATCTCAAATAGGTAGGTGGCGATCACCTTTAGCTTGCGTGTGGTGCGCAAGTACATCACAGCTGCCGGACGGCAGGCGATAAGTCCTGTTAATGCTCCGTAGCCAAGCACCCGCTACGTAGGAGCGTTTGGCCTCAGTCGATACCAGTGGAAAACTGACGAGAGAGTAATGAATTACTTACTGATGGGGAAATTTGTATCAGTGGTTCAAGAGCATACAAACGCAATGTGGAATAGCCTCGGTATCGGACCCTCCCTGCTGTAAGGAGGTGAAAAGCTGGTCTCTTGGGAGTGGTAGGTAGCAAAAACACATGGTACTCACCATCTGCCGGGGTCATAACTGCATCGTGTAACAGCGTCGCGCAAGCACCGCCGATTACGGGTGCCACGTGAGTTGACCTCATTTGTGACTTCTCAACCAGATCTTTCACATGTTCGTAACAGCCGAAGTAGGCTGCATGAGCAGGTCCTGCACCGCCAACCATGGCTCCGATTCCGCGTAAAGAACCACGCGCCCCTTCGGTGCGAATCAATCGAACAAGACCATTGAAAACGTTCGAGTAGTCCGTATGATACATTGGCCGAAGACATTGCATTCGTGTCTGCGAGTAATTGGACGTAATTCAAACGTACACGACCGGTTGTTACCTTCACAGAGTCTACCGGGTACATCACAATATGTTCCATGATACCTGCACATGCTCCAGCAAGCATATGCTCGCGAAGCGAGCTTGACGCCGGAAGAGCTTCGTAATCTATAGGTTCATCCTAAAACATGAAGAAGAAGCAAATGAATGTGACTGCGTAAACGGGAAGTTTGACCGGTATGAAGTTGTAAAAGTTAACTATGAAAAACTGTCTTCTCTGCAGACAAAAAGCGTATAGGCAACGGCTGAGTAATTTCATGTGGTGACTTGCTGGACAGTCGTGCAACTCTGTATCAGTCCTTGGCTTCCTGCGTCCACCCACCAAGGTATATCAAACGGCACGGTAGCTTCAGACAGCCCTTTACGGAGACTGTACTTATAGAGTAATCAAAGAATGTTCCACAAGGTCGTGCTAGAGTGTCCGTGAGGGGCGTCAAGCTAAAGATGCTCCATCCGGATTGGTTGGCATTTTGACCAATCAGGGCATGCCTTCGCTTGGTCTTGCACGGGACTCATCCGTCCAAATGATGTGATGTCCGGTTATTAGGGACAGCTGGCCTCCGGGCATTTCAAGAGCCCAGAAGGGCGATTTGCGACGAATTTTCTAGGATAGATAAGTTCATTGTGCTCACTCATCGTGTTCACTCATCTGCGGCTCACAGGTGAAGTAGAACCCTGGACGGTGAACGTGGAATCACCTACGGCCTCGGAGGTTTACGACTGCATATGTTCTCTCAAGCGCCACCGAGCTCCTGGTCCGGATGACCTTCCACC